TCTTTGGCCAATTATCCTCAAGCTAAGCGCTTTAGTTGTCTACAAACCTGCCAGTGGAATTGGTTGCTACATCCGAGCCCATTAGTATTCAGCACTCCTCTAAACCACTGCTTCACTCCTTAACCCTTTCGTCTAAGTGGTTATGGGCTTTGCTCAGAGCACAAAGTGAGAATCTGAAATCATTAACCAATAAGACAGATTCGATCTCAACGATGAAAGGTAAAGTTTGCCTACGGTTGCTCCAGTTCCCACATTTTGCCTACTTTGATATATACTATAGAATTTGATCAAAACTTGCTTTCCAGTCTTAATATGAATTGTGGCATCATTTAATTGGAGTTGCTCTGCTTTCTTCTCTCTCTCTCTCTTAACTAACTCCCAAGACAGTGTTCCTGTTGCAGAGATCTATTATTGCCCTGCACCGATCCCTATTGGAGACTGAAGTGTGTGTGTGGCGTGGTGGGGTGGGGGTGGGGGTGGGGGAGTTGTGGGGGCGGGGGAAAGTGGGATTGCTACAGAGACGATACCTTGAAGCAGTGGGAATGCAGGGCTCGCTCTGCGTGTGGTTAATTAAACAGGTAATTAATAAGTTAATTAAGCAGATCTCAAAGAGAGAAAAAAATACAAACACAGAAATATCTGACACAGTAGACATTCCGCCGTAGCATTACACTGATCTGCCTACATTTAATAATATGTTACTACATAGAATACAATACCACTATTCTGGTCCCTTCACAAAATAATGGATGTGCCTCGTCGATCTTGCTAGCCTTGGGTCTTCAAGCTGTCGATGCTTCTTGTTTTGCAACAAGAGGTGAAAGATTGTATTGCACGGTGTTAGTTCAACCTGAGCTGATATGAATCTGAAACCCCTATTACAAACACTCACCTGCTCTATTGCTTAAGTGGGTCCGCGAACATCGCCACTCTGTCGCCGCTTCTATTTGCTTTGATTCATCGGCGAGTCTTTCTCCCTCCCCCCTTGTCCCACTTATCCTGGTCACCAGGTATGTTTCACCGGTAGTGGAGCAGCCGGGAAAGTGGCCTTGTCCGCTGCATACACACCGTTGAAAACCCTTCCTTTTGTTTACTGCTAATTATCTGTCCATTAGACTCGCTCGCCCACAATCACAGCAATACAGCCGCCTTATCTCTGAAGGATTATCGGTTGAAGTGTCCTCTGTAAACAAACCGACTGCAAACACATTAACAACAGGACGGGACCCGAATTACAGAAATACGGGGTGGCTTTTCAAAATGGGCCGCAAGACCAGACTAAGCCACTCTGGTTTGCTATTATGCTCATGTTGAGCATGTATGATTATGACAGTCGCTAACTGTTTGAAGAGGGCACGGTTCCTTAGTCGTTATCTGTAGCCACAACACAAACAAACCCAGGTAAATCTTAAAAGGTAAATCCTCAGAGACATATTCCCAGATTCCACTGGAAATGGGATTGTTAAGATGTTGCTTTCTAGAGGAATAAATAAACTTGGACTATCTCGCAAGAATTTAGCTCAACGGCTCTGCCCAGCAGCTGGAGATGCCTTCAGTCCTAGTCTTACAACATAGTTTAGAGAGAGGAGCAATGTTGAAATGTCAGTGACAAATAGATCAAGGATCCAGAATCTGGACGCGGTACCCACAAAAATCATCATTTTTACTGTCAGCGGAATACATTCAGCGGTTCCAATGGAAATGTTCCCCATTTCACTTCAAGCGTATCCCCGAGAGGGGAGTAGGAGCGAGAATTTTGGCTGCGAGGGGGCTTTCTCCGCAGAGTCTGGAATATATTAAACGTCATCAAGTCCTGACCACAGACCAAAACCCCAAACTCTATTCGCCCTCATTGTGCTCCACCACCAGCACCCCACCCCCATCACCAGTCGGTCCTGTCTCTCTATTTGACCTGTAATAGGCAACATAAAACTACTCCACACGGTTCTTTCCAAACCATCGCTAACTATAGCAATTCATTTCACGTCACAGAGAAAGCAAGGCGTGCTGTTGAAGCAGCATCACTGACTCTGCGTCTCATTGTACATTTCCGGAGTGTTGATAACTAATCTTACGCTCACACACTGATCCGGGGCAAATACAACTGAGTTTTGAATAAAGAAAATAGTCGGACCCAATTTCGATGTCCTCCCTATTTCCCCCATTTTTTTTATTCACTCGTGTGATGTGGCCGCCTCTGGCTGGCCAGCATTCATTGTCCGTCCCTCGCTGCCCCTTGAGAAGGTGCCTTCTTGAACCGCTGCAGTCCATGTGCTGTAGGTAGATCCACAATAAGAAACAATTAAGAAGCATGACGTTTTAGGGAGACTAAAGTGTTTAAATTCTCATCTTACTCCAATCGTCAATATCAGCGCTGGGCTGTCAGATTACGTTCGTTTTTGATATACAGATTTCGGCCTCTACGCATCAACTGTATTTCTTGCGCGTACGAGCTATATACTTTTACTTGCCATAAGATATATCTGTCATCGAGGGGGTGTAATGAAGGCTCACCTGATTAGTTCCTGGGGTTGCAGATTTGTCCATGGAAGAGAGTTTGGGCCGACTGGGCCTGTATTCGCTGGAGTTTGGAAGAACAAGAGATCTCACAGAAACATATAACATTCTAACAAGGTTGACAGACTGGATGGAGGGATGAATCTTCCACTGGACGCGGGGCCCAGAACTCACTTGTGGGACTGTCTCAGGATATGGGGTAGGCCATTTTGGACCGGGATGTGGAATAATTTATTCAGTCTGAGGGCGATGTACCTGTGGAACTCTGTACCACAGAAAGCCCTGAAGGCCACATCACTGAATATATTCAAGCAAGAGCTAGATAGCTTTCTAGAGGGCAAAGGAGTCAAGGGGGTAGGGAGAGCGCAGGAATAAGGCATTGAAATGCGGGGTAAGCCATCATCGCATTGAATGGTCGATCGGTTTCGATGGGCTGAATGGCCTGGTCCTTCACATACTTCTATGCTTCTATGTATATGTGGATGTTTGTTTGCTTGTGAATATGCATTACTTTTGCGTGTGTACTTGTGCCAGTGCCTATAATCATCACGGGTATACGAATGGGTGCCCTTGTAAACTCCCATCTTGAAGTGAATGCGTGACAGTAATGGAAAACGTTATTGTATTTCTGCATCTGTATATTACAGTGTATGCAATATCGCTGGTTGTATACAAGCGCCAAATGTATACGGCACTGTGAACGACGATTCCGCTAAGCAGGGGACTGACATACACGAATTCTGTCTATTTCATAACCCCAAAGGAAAATAAATCGTCTCTGCGCATTTGAAACTTGTTGTGTTCTTTTAAAGACTAATTTTATTAGAAATGAGCTTTTAAATCAAATATATAAAACCGAGGTCATTTCCTGACATAATTTTGCGGATGCCATCTTCAGTCTAAAAAAAACACGGTTTATCTTGACGAGATTTGTAAGTACCAGCAACTTTACGGCGTTGGAAAGCCCTGGATAATTGTGATTTAAGAGCCATGTCAGTGGGGCATTACAAGCGGTTTACGAGGATATGGCATTCCCCACTTTCTCACTATCGCCTTCAATTTTATTTCATGAACTGCACGCGATAGAGTCTGAGACAACAGGGATTCTCTCCCCTCCCTCAGAGGTTGGATTCAATAAAGCAGGCCTTGTACAATGGTTTGAATAAAAATAAAGACTGTGCTATATTTATGCACAGTGTCAATTTATCATACGCTGTAAACATTATGCACCTATTGAAGTGGTTGAGTCCCTCCCATTTCTTTGCCTCCCTGTAATGTAACTGTGCTAAAAAAAACTTACAGCCATGTGAAATATGCCAGCACAGGTTGCTAAACTTGCAAGAATAATAAGCCTTTTTCGACCAGGCTGCCTCCTGCTGAATCCTATGTTCACTGGCCCTTCAGACTGCAAGTTCTCCCCCCCTCTCCATAATCAAGCGCCTTTCACCGCGGACAAAAAAAAACGTTAAGATGGAGAGGCGGGATTAGGGCGAGAAAAAGCAAACAGAATTTGGGCATCGTTCTATTAATCAGCCTATTAAATGGGGGCATATTTACAAATGTCAATCTCGGGACTTTAGGGTTTTGTCTCTACGTGCGAAACCTCCGACACCCCACCTTTTGTTCCCGAAACTTATGAAAGCCATTGTAGGTACCTCGGAGCCTAACTTGGACATTCTTTCAATGTACTTAGTGCTTCTAATCACACCTCTCAAAAGGTTTTTCCTATATAATAACTTTCTCTTTCACGGCGCTTGGCACATGAACAATTCACGTCGAGCGTGGCAGGCGCTGGCCTTTCCACCTCGCTGTACGAGGCAATTGAGCAAAGGACACGGTCTCACAAAAGCAGCTTTTTGGGCGGTTTAACACAGCGTTTGAATAAACATTTCATTACTGTGTTTTATATCCTGATAGAATTAAGCTTCGTGCGCTGATTTCTCTCTCTCTTTCTGAAACAAAACTATTCTTTTTATTACTCCAAAAGTTGCTTCTCACCTTCAAGTCAAAACTGTCACTTAACGCGACTGCAATATGTTTGATGTTATTGCTACTTTGTTCAGAAATTTCAGGCAACGGCTTTTGGCCTGGTTAAACGCGTTTTATTCCCAACCTGACGTCTCATTACACGAGCGCTTCAAAACGACTAAAATTCAACATATCCGAACAGCATGGCCTCTTAATAACCCGCAAGCCCATGCACTGTGATTCGGAATTAGTTATCAGTTACTTTTTTTCTCCACTCCCCAGCATCGTAGACACAAATGGTTCAAGTAGAGTTACGCTTTGACTGGGTAAGTTTGATGTTCAACTAGTTACCTAACACACATGCATTCAGAAATACGTTATTAATCAAAACGTATTTTCTTTAAAGACTGACAGCATTTTGCTAATATCTAAACAATCACTGAAGTGTAATTATGCTAATACAGGCGCCCATCGAAAATAATAGATTCAAAACAAGTACACCAAGGACTCAGTTATGAACATATTGCACCTCAATATTTATTCACTTTTTTTTGTTAACTCCACTTAGTGTATTCCAGCGTTTCTTTTTTTGAATAGCAGAGTATTATACAAGCTGGGGACGGGGTAGGGGGAATCCTTCACGAACAATAAGCTTTGCTATATACATAACTTTATACACGCCACTGAAATGTTAACACTCGCAACTATGGTACAAATTAGAGTGAAAGTTTTTCTGAGAATTGCTCGGTATGTACATGAGACATTTTTTGGCCAAAGTTCTGTTTATGTTTATTTATTTTCTGACCCACCTAAGAAGGAGTTCTAACTCACAGCTAGTGGATCCTTTGCTTTAGCAATGCTGCTAAATATTTAAATTATGCGCAGACTTCAGAAGGAAGATGTTTGAGACAAATCCCTGATTCTCCAAGTGTGACTTCAAAAACGGAATTCCGCTGTGAAAGGGTCGGTTCGAACTAATACTAATATTGGGGAAGGGTAGTTTGGCAGTTACGTCAATAATACCGCCACCCCAACCCACTGCAGTTTGAAAACTTAAACCTAGTGTACAACATGTAGAAATAATAGGCTTTTCTTTAAAAAAGAGACTGGTTTCAGCAAACGTGACCCATGAAGATTCATTTTTAAAAAACACAGACTATTTTCTGTTGTATTTTACCTGCCTACAAGTTGACTCAACTGCCATAGCAGCATCTCTTAGCTGCCGACTGAGGTGGTCTATTTCAATCAAACTGCTGCAGTTCATAAAGACGGGGCCACCGCCTTCTGAGAGGAGCTCGGGAGGGGCAGAAATTGCTGGCCTTATAAACATGAGCCCCGTCTCCCAGAATGAATCAACAGAACGGTTGTAGCAGACCGAAAATGCAAAATACTGCGGATGCTGTAAATCGGCTATAGAATACAGAGTAAGTTAAGCAACAGGCCTGGTGGGAGAGAGGGAAAGAAAGAGAGAGAGAGAAAATGAATTTTACCAGGCGCTGCCTGACCCGCTGGTATCTCTGGTGCTTTTCGGAGTTTGTGTTATATTATTTGTAGTCTTTTCTCCAACCATCTCTCTCTTTTAGAATTATGAGGATTCCTGAAGCATGTCAAACACTGTTTTCGTATTTTGTTAAAAAAAACTCCCAAACCTACAGACGAGATGTGACGGTGTCTCCTTTCTCCCTTCTCTCTCTCTGCTGCATTTCCTAACACCCCTTTTGGGGTATTTACTTTTTACTGCCGAACCTCGCAATTCTGAACAGTAGAGTCCGGAGGGTGATCTGTGCTCCATTCCCTGTCGGACATGAAGGTACAATCGAACGAGAGAGGGTGAAATCACAAGGGTTAGGAGAGAATATATAAAACAAAGTGTAATATTTGGCAGAGAGCATCCAAAGGAATCTGAAATGAATTGGGATTGTCCAAGCGGGATTCTTGAAAGGGAACCATAACAGTGATCTTTTTGTTCCTTCAAAATAACCTTTCTTTGATTTCTCAATTGACCTACGGTAAAAAAAAAGTTCAAAGCCAGTGAAGACAGCCAACAGTTCTGGTCTCACATGGCACCTTACCAGGCTCGGATGCCCTGCAGAGTCCCTTGGCATGCGGGCACAGAGGATCCTTGGTGAGACTGCGTCTGTACAGTGCCGTTCACGTTACTGAGGTCCACGCTCATGAAAGCGTTGGACGCCGTGGAAGGCGGCAGCGACGGGATGCTGGTGTAGGTGCAGCTATAGTTAGCGTTGTAGGCCGGGGCGCCGCCGTAGCTGCCGTACGAGCTGGGGTAGCCGTTGTAGGCGTAAGCGTTGGCGCCGACGCTGTAAGGGCTGCTGTAACTCTGGGATCCTGCTATGCACGGTTTGCCGTCCCGGACCAGCACGGGCACTGCCACTCGTCTGGGCGGGGGTGGGTGATGGTGGCCCGCGATCTCCAAGGATTTGTCTTGGCGTTGCCGTTTGCACTTGTAGCGCCTGTTCTGGAACCAGATCTTGACCTGAGTGGAGGTCAGTTTGAGAGTGCTGGCCAGGTGCTCCCTCTCGGGGGCAGACAGGTATCTCTGCTGCTTAAACCTTCTCTCCAGTTCAAATACCTGGGCCTGTGAAAAAAGCACACGGGGTTTCCTTCTCTGCTTCTGTTTCGGCCGTTCACCATCCTCTGTCTTATTGTCCTCGCTCTCTGGGCACTTCTTTAGGGAGTAGTTTTCTGCAGAAATATAACCAAGCCATTAATGACACAGTTTGCAACAAGAAGTGCAATTTCCAGCAATAACCAGATGCACATAACTCTGACCAATTAATGAATCCCGGAGCATTGGTGTGAATGCTTCTTTCGAGTCGATATTAAACCAGGCAGATTGAAGAGGCAATTGTAACAACATTTGTGAGTCAGGGAATTTAGCCTCATGCAGCTCAATTCTTAGACTAAATTATATTGAATTTAAATTAAAGGCGAAAATATCACGCATTTTGTCGCGCTGTTTAATTCCACAATAATGAGGCGCCGACTTAATTTACCGAAAAAATAAATAAAAGCACTATGTATGTGTGAATTCACAGTAATTTTTAACATTTGTGCCATGCAGTATCTGTTTTCAAGATCTATCTTGCCTAAATGAGGGTCACCACTTGCCACTTTTTTAAAAAAAAATTCCGATTTAAGTGCTTCATTCTTCCAGGTTTTTGAATGATTTCGGCAAAGTTTGTTTCAACAGAACTTGTTTGAAATGTATGAAGATACGGAAGCACAGACCAATGTACGCTATGATTTAAATACTTCTTTATCCATCTTGATAAGTAACGCTTTTGCTAATGATGGCAGTACTCACCCTATCCATAGGCCTAAAATAGGATACATAGTTATGGAGCTCTTTTGAACAGTTCAAACGTACTAACACAAAACACTCTGCAGACTGCAAAACAACCGAAACATGGGAATTACATTAAAGGAACTGTGCACAATTTACAGCAGAATAATTGACTTAGGGACCCCGCTATAGTTCCTATAAATGGACTGGGTTTCTGAATTGAAATGTGGTTCCCGTGTTCTTGGTGTAAGAACCGATTATTGTAGAGCATTAAATAAAATCAATTCTTCCGGCCACCTGGAGAACTCATTTTATCTCCGGATCACTCGAAAATTAATTTTAAAGGTATTTTTCAATGCTGTAGTGTCCCTTTCGCTTAATAGGAATTACCCCCGGGTGTAATGTTAAGGACCTGATTCGTGAAATCAATATGAAAGATTCTCCAGCAAATTCTGTGTTTGTTTAAATATATACTTAATAAAAACGCCGCCTTCGCAAAACATTTTTAGAATTTAACATAATTACATTTCAATGCTGCAGATTTTGCAATATTTTACCTCCGGTTCATCTCTTTATAAAATTTAGACGATTAGCTACTTACTCGTGCCCTCGTCTCGTAGGATCTCCTCATCCAATTTGGTTTCACACGGGCTCCTCAGTCCTGCGTGAACGTAAAGATCGGGGGAAAGGCTCGGATCCCCCTGACTGTCTTGTACTGACAGAGAGTTCAAAAAGGGAATTTTCTCCTCCCCGTCCGAAAAACTGGAGGCTTCCCCGGCGGCGTGCATGCACGAAGGCGGCGGAGGCGGCTGGAACTGAGACGATAAATCCTGTTGTAAGTGATGGGTCACTTGCTGGCGCGTTTGCTGCTCCAGATTCAGAATATCTTTGACCGAGAATGGCGTCGACGTGACCGGGCTTGGAAGCATCATCGGGCAAGATGCGTGGGGGATTAATTATAAACCCGCCAGTTTAATCTCTGTTTTGCCAAGAAAAACGAAAATCCAGCAGGCTTTTCTTCCCCCACCTAAATTGCAACCGAAAATAAAAAGGTTTCAAGCTCCCTTTAATTGCACAATTTTTTCCCTCCCTCTCTTGTAAAACTGACATGCAACTAAAGTGGGTTAGGTGGGATTTCTTTTTGCTGCAACCAATAGCTTCCAAACTGCAGAGACTCCGAGTGCAGTTTTGTTGCTGTTCGGCCACCCCTGGGGGTGGCGAGTGACGTCACAACGCTGCCCCGGGGGGGCGTACCTCACACGCGTCATTGGCTCCCAGGAGCCGGAGATTCAATTGAGGCCGGTTGGGTGGGCGGGACAGGTAAGGAGCAATTTCCCATTGGTTGACCGTGTGTCACGTGCAGCTGTCGGGGCGCGGACACGAGCCCCAGGCCGGGAGAAGAGAGCGCGTTCCCGCCAGAAGCAGAAACTGACTGATGTCTTAGTCGGGAACTATGCAGAAAATTAGGGCAGAAATCAATTCCAAATTATACATTTTTATACTCTTTGCTTTCATACGATTGATTTGAGAGGTGAACTAATGCATAAAGCAATTCATAATGAAATTTTTAGTCTTTGATACAATTGCTGCGAAGGGTGATTTAATGCAGAAAGCAATTCCAAATTATGTATTTTTTAAAACTTGCGATGATATGATTGAAACACGGGCTAAATTAATGCAGAAAGAAATTCTCATTTTTAGGCTTTGAGTTGTTACGATTGATGGGAGAGGTGAATTAATGCATAAAGGAATTCCAAATGATATTGTTTTTCAATCTTTGTTTCAATACGATTGCAAAAAACATTCCAAATTTTTAAAAGTATTTGCTTTTATGCCATCGGTGTGAATTTTGAATGAATCTAGAAGGCAATTCCAAATTATACTAAAAGAAAGAACTGTAGATGCTGAAGATCTGAACTAAAAATATAAATTGCTCGACAAAGTTAGCATGTCTGGCTGCATCTGTGGCGAGAAAGCAGAGTCAACGTTTTGAGTCCAGTGACCCTTCAGAACTTTTAGTCGTTGCTTTGATGCGATTAGTGTGAGGGGTGAATTAAAGCAAAAACGAATTGCAATTTTTTTTAGTCTTTGCTTTGATATGATCGATGTGATGTAGATAGATCTGAGATAGGCATTTTTTGTTAACCGGATACGTGTTAAAAGCAGGTATCTCGAGTTAGGCCACAGATCAGCCATGATCTCATTGAAGAGCAGAACACGATTGAGGGGCTGAATGGCCTACTCTTGTTCCTATGTTCTTGCTGGGGTTTTTTTTTAGCTCTTGCATTGATTTGATTGATGTTGTATGATGTTCGCTGCATTTCTTTTTAAAGAAAAGGGAATATAAATCATTAAACAATCTTGAGCACATCTAGCTTCCACATAACAACAACAATTGCTGGAGAAACTCTGCAGGTCTGGCAGCATCTGTGGACAGAGAGACACAGTTAACATTTGGCGGTCCAGTGACCCTTCTTCATAATGCAGAAACTGCGTTATGGCTTACTCAAGGAGTTAAGAAGTGCAGAATGTAATTCAAAATTGTATATATTTTTAGTCTTTGAATATGATTGACGTTATGTGATGTTAGATGCGGTTTCTTTTTTAAAGAAAGGGGATATAAAATTTTAAACAAAACCAACTCATATAATTTCGCAAATCCAGTTTCAACATGCATGTGCTGTCACATTCGGCGATGGTCACAGTTGCATTTTTAAAATCCTTTAACTTATTCTCATTCCTACAGTTACCTAAAGTGTACTAATTGCATACACACCAGCTAAATATTTTAAACCAGTATTTGAGTATACTGCAAAATAATTATTGACTATAAATAAAGTAAGATAATCACATAATCGTGTATGTGATTATAATTTATAGAGAAAGGATCGAAGATGTAAACAGTCAATCAGTTTGGTTTTCTAGCATTTATTCTCTTGAGGTGAATTTAACAGTGAAGAAACTATCTTTGTTATATTATGTTAATACGTGCATATCTGGAGATAATTGGAACTGTAAAGACACATATTACTCCATTCCGCCAATTAAGAGGTTACGGTTTCTTTAATGATAATGCATCTTCAGAATGTATTATAATAAAAACTATCATTATGAAACATAATAATCAATTCAATATAATAAGTGCTTGCAGATGATAATATAACAGTATATAAACCCCCATTTTGCTCCGAATCTGCCCATACCAACATTGTACTATATCAGAAATTATGCAATAGAAAGTGACAGAAGGAATGTTATTTTCCCCATTGTCGGTCAGTGTAGATCTTTTTGTACATTTAAAAATCCTTCTTCGAATCTGGAAATAAGCAAGAAGTATATGAGTTGGTCATTTCTGTAAACACACTTATGCCCTATAGGCCTAGTTTTGATCATTAGGCCTGGAGTGAGTTAAGTAGTTCATAACTTTATGATGTACGAGAGGACAGCGACTCAAGGAACAGAGATACAATCGACAGTGATACAATGGATGGCGGTACATTGGGCATTGATACAAGGTACAATAATACAAGGGCCCTGTACATAAAATTTTATGCGCAGTTAAATCGTCCCTCAAAAATGAGGAATTAGCAAAACGCTTCACAAAATTAAAAAGAGACATGTGCAAGTATCATAACAAAAGAACTTGCTAAATTAACTTGGGAAAATCAGTCCCCTTCGAATTTATTTTTTTGCCTCTCGGTATTTCCACCTGATCGCCTTACCAGAGAGAAGGATTTCGCTCTGCCGTTTAATTTACTGAAATGTAGGATGTACAGATTGGTCGAATCTATATAGCTGTACAGGACACTCACAACACTTTCTACATGCCATAACGAAACGGATACATGAGACGCACGTTGGAAATTGCAACTTTGTTACGGGATTGCATTCAAGCCAATAATATTGGGGGTGGCGGGTAGGGGGAGGAGCTGCTGAAATCGGGGGATCGTGGCCAGATGTCCTTTATTGTCCCACCTGCGGGTTATAGGCACTTTCAATCTTCAGTTCTCGGGGGTTTTAACACTGACCAAAGTGGTTTTACTGAGATTGGTAAAGATTTACAAAAAAAAAATATTTGGGGAACTTTGTCATTAGGTAAGTACAGTTACAGCGCAATCACAGATCAATAAAAGTCCCGTTTTTCAAAGACAAAGGAAGTGTCACTTAAAGCACCCATTACATAACACGCTGTGTCCACTTTATTCATAACAGCCACCATCGAGCTTCATAGAACTGTTTATATTCTACTGTCCCTTGAAAACTCGAGATTAGCGTTACCTCAGCAGCAACTGCTAGTTTTGAACAGTGGCGTAGCATAAACATACGAAGTATCAATCACCAAATAATTTTGCTACGACCTGGTTACAATTGCTTTGATCTCCCTCCTATTATATTTAACTTCCATCTATAAAGACGGAAGAAACGACATGAATATCTAAATTAAAACAAAACAGAGGCTGAATTTATTCTGGGTGGTGGAACATGCTGGTCTATTGAACTTATCAACCACCCAATTTTAAATTGTTGCATTGCCGTACCTCACCTAAACTCCG